ATTACTTATACTTCAAATTAATCCTATTGAAATAGTTAAACCCTGCAAAAAACTCTAAGGTAAACATGGCATTATTTGAATTTTTATTCAAATAATATACCCATTTATATGATGACGTTTGACATTAAACACCTATTAAGTGGTAATGCTATTTATCTAATAAACATACGCACACCCCCTTCCAAATTTTTATAAATTACAAACAAACACATCTACATATGTACACTACAATAATTTATTCTAAACCATAATACTTTACTCTAGCATTTCAAGTGCATATAAATTATATATATTTTTTTCAAAACAAAAATTTTTATTCGCCTAGCATAACATCAAAGTGAGTGGTTGCTGTTGGTTAGGTATGGTCGAAGGTGGTATGGTAGCGCATGCTCAATTTGTTTTTATTTATATCAACTCGTCATCGCACAATAGCAAAAGCCACAAAATTGGTAAAACACAAACAAGTTTATCAAATGACACTGAAATATCTTTGAATACACAAACATATTGGAATCAATGGTATTTTTGATATGTGTTTTTTTTTTTTTTGTTTTTCAAATATTAATATTTTTTATTAATAGTTTTTTTTTTCGCAGTGACGATTGTTTTTCTTTGAATTGTTTGAAGAAAAGACGTGCACACAGTGGGGGAGTATTTAATAGAAATTATATGTTATATACAGATTATTAATAATAAATAAAAACTTTGGTCGATCTTTTCATAATCTCCATTCTTATATACCCAAACTTTCTTTAAGGAAGCTTTTAAATACCTCATAAACTGAATACTCAAAAGACTTATTATGACGCATAAAGGCACGTTTACACACAAATTTTTAAAATTATATTTTTTCATGAACTGTCAATTAAAAAAAAAATTGTGTGTAAACTCGATATGGACATTATATTAAAACATGGTAGAATAATACAGGTTATCGCATAGACCATGGTAGAAGAATATAGGTAGACTCGTCGACACAGCTGCTGGGACAATGAACTGTCAAACCAATTTTGTAATTGAAAATGTTGAATGAAACATTATTTAAATTTGTCCAAATTCTTGAGAAATGCATATCATAACTACCTCCGATTGGCGTCGTTAAGAAAACTTATAAAAATCTATTTATTTTTGAAAAAAAAAATTAAAAATGTTTTGACATATCAATGTTTCCAAGCGTTGATGCATCTATCTGTATTCTTCTACCATGACATAGACACAGCTGCTGGGACAAGGAACTGTCAAACCAATTTTGGAATTGAAATTTTAGAAAGAAAAAACAATGGTAGAACTAAGAAGGTAAAGTCATGTAGACAATTTTTTCCAATTTATGTATTTCACAACATCTCATTGTCAAAATTTAAATTCATAAATCCACACAAAACCGCGTTTTTTTATGTATTAAAATTTGACAAGGTAAATTACAGAAAATGCAGAGCTGGGAATGCTAATTTGAAATGAGGTTACCGTTATTTCATTGAACCATGGAAAAATCATTCAAATTTGAAAAAAAATTAAAAAATACATATCATAACAAGTTTGTGGTAAATTAGTTGGTCTATAATATTTGCACATAAGATAGAAATTTTTTGCGGAATCGTATGATACCTAAAAGCCAAACACACCCAGGGCTTCGCTTAATTTTCTATCAAATTATAAAGGAATATTAAAGTGAGGGTACATAAGCAGCTTGAAGTCTTCGCGCGGCATATTTTGTGACATATCATAAAGGAATGCCAGAGGCGCACTCAAATTCCGCCGTCGTTCCCCTTATAATTTGATATGAATATGCCTGGCCATAATGCCAAGCTGCTTATGTACCCTCACCTTTAGAGCCGCTTTTTAATTCAGGTGCCTTTGTCCTTTATAAATTGGCCTCAACGCAGCAAAAAATAAGATATAAACTTTGTTTTTGTTCAAAATCAAAAAGAAAATAAGACAAAAAGTGAAGAATCTCCCATGGTAAAGTAAGAAGCATTTTCTATAATTTACCTCCTCAAATTTTAATGTATAGAGAACGGGTTCCCATCTTTGATTTATTTATTTTCAACGGATTTATAAATGTTTTAACAGTCTAACTGTATTTACTTAAGGTGAGAATACATAAAAGGCCTTTCTGACTGGCTTCTTTGAAGTGGAAAAAATGAGTTTTAAGTTGACTTAGTTTGATTTTTGCCCTAAGCTCCTTTATTATTTTCCAATGAAGCCAGTCGATGAATTAAGCCACTCAAAAAGGCCTTTTATGTATTCTTACCTTAAATAAATACAGTTAGGCTTTTAAGTTTAAAATTAAAAAGGTTTTCTAATCAGATAATCAAAAAAGAGTTACAAGTGATTAAAAAAAGAAATCTTTGTCAGTAAAATAACTGTCAAAATACCCTTCTCAATCGTTTTCGTTGCAGTAACAAATTTTTGCAAATGTTTGTGAAATCAGAAGACTTTGTTTTTCTTTAGTACTACGACCTTAAGTACATCAGTATTTTTACAGCTAATCTAATAATAAGTTGTGATAAACGGAGTACGTATTTATTATATGATGGAACGGACAGGTTTGAATTGTCTTATACCACGTTTACATTAAAGCATTTTATCGTGTAAAATTTGATTGTGAAAACACACATATTGGACAATTAAAATGGATCAAAAATATCCCCTTTCGACTATTCACCGTGCAATTATTAATTAATGTTCACATCTAGTAAATCCAGTGGATTTTAAATGTCAACTACATTGCACATACGTCAAATCTTAAATTAATTTTAATTTGACACATATCTTATTGGAAAAATAGTTTATATCCACTGGATTTATTATATTATGTGAACAGCGTTTTATGCCGTATGGTTTAAGAATAGCCCATGGCAGAAGAATACAGGTAGATGCATCAACGCTTGGGAGCATTGATATGTCAAAAAAATTAAATGTTTTTCAAATATAAGTAGATTTTTATATGTTTTCTTATACTACGTCAGTCGGAGGCTATTATAATTCGCGTTTTTTCAAAATTTTTTCCAAATTTAAAAAATGTTTCATTGTAGATTTTCAATTCCAAAAGTGGTTTGACAGTTCATGGAATAGCCCATGGTAGAAGAATACAGGTAGATGCATCAACTCTTGGGAATATTGATATGACAAAAATTTTTAAATGTTTTTTTTTTTTTTCACACAACGACAATCGACAAAACGATATGCATTTTTAAAAATTTTTACAAATTTGAAGAATTTTTCATTCAAAAATTTCAAATACCAAAATTGATTCAACAATTCCTTGTCCCAGAAGCTGTTTCGATGTGTCTATGTGTATTCTTCCACCATGATATATTAGGAAAATCCCATGTCTCAATATTGGACAAATCATTAATATAATATATCGTTGATATGTAATTATCTAGAGTAACAGTACGTTTACATAAAAAAATGGGTAACCCACAGGATTTGGATTAAAATTGTCATATCCATTACTAATACTTCAAATAAATCCGCTTGAAGTAGGTTAACCCTGCAAAAAGTTATAAGGGTGCAAGTACATAAGAAGCTTGAAGTCATGGCTAGGCATATTTTCCGAAATTTCATAAAGGGATTACAGAGCAGCATTAAAATCCTGCCGTCGTTTTCGATTATAATTTGACATTAATATGCTTACCCATAACTTCAAGCTTTTTATGTACTTGGACCTTAACGTAAACATGGCATAAGTCTAGGCTCCAAACATGGTAGAAGAATACAGGTAGATGCATCAACTCTTGGGAACATTGAACGTCAACATTTTTAAAATGTATTGACTAAAATAAGTAGATTTTTATATGGTTCCCTATGCAACACAAATCGTGGCTTGTTATGACATGAATTTTGAAACAATTTTCACAAATTTCAATAATTTTTCATTCAAAATGTTCAATCCCAAAATTGATTTGACAGTTCATTGTCCCAACAGCTGTGTCGATGCGACTATCTGTATTCTTCTACCATGGCTCCAAAGGAGTTTAACTTAATTTCGTATTGTGTAAGCACTAATGCTGATTTGGCTTTTTAACAAACGAAAAAAAAATTAAATAAATGAGGTCATTTAGATTCTCAATGAAGCACACAATAATCATGAAAAAGGGAACCTAGAACTTTTGCTATTCGGCAATGAGATTTAGAAAAGTTTCTATTCTTTTGAAAGGTGATTTCACAAAAAAGTACAGCATCAGCAGGCCGGCGTAGATCACAAAGCAATAATAAAAACAAAAGAGTTAAAAAACCTGTTTTATGATGGTGTCTAAAAAGCTTCAGTTAGATTAGGTGTTCAGATGGTGATGATGATTGTAAATTCTTTGGTGGGGTTCCTACAACGACTGCTTGCTGCTGGCAAGTGTTTTTGCTCAAAAAATAAGTTATCTCACCATATTCAGACTTCGTGGTGGTTTATAGTTTTTTATTGGCAATTTTTTTTCTTTTTAACAAAAAAAAAACCGCGACACACAAATCTCTTGAATGCTGTTTGACTGGATTTGATGTTTTTGTTATTTTTATGTGTGTTGTTTTGTTTTTGCTTTTTGTGTTGGAATTTATTCACATTGTTATTATTATTATTTTGTTATTTCTTTCCTTCAATTGTTGTTTGAGATCAGATTGAACGCGACTAGCAGAGTTTGGATCGACGGACCAACCTGTCTTTCGAACGCTGCTGTTGTTGTTGCTGTAAACTTGATATTTGTCTCTAGGTTTTTGTGGCAACAAATAACAAGTTTTCACTTTCATCGACAACGACGGTCATTCAAAATGCATTCCAACCACTGCACATACCCACCAGACTGACACATACACACAGATGCACTTTTATGCTGTCGAATGTTGACGTTTGTAGTTTTTGTTTCTTTTATTTTCGAAAAAAAATCGCATAAACGTGACAAACAATAATAAAGAAAAACGATGGCCAAATGAAACAAAACAAATTTCAAAATAAAGCACTTTCTTTAAAGTGTTACTTATTATTGTTGTTGCAATATTTTTACACTCACTTTTAGACGTTTGCACCAAAAAATATTAACTCTTTTTAGAATATCTATGTTAATTTGTCTTAACTTTTTTGTTGGTTTATAACCGCGTATATTTATTTATTTACTTGTACGTTTTGGTCCAACTCGCTTGTTTTACCGCAATTCAACAACCTTTCGCGCTACACCGACCGTCAGTAACTGACTCGTTTTACTAAACTTGACTGTTAACATATACGCTAAAGCTGGAGTAATGAAGCTTGCTGGAGGTCAGAGTTGGGAGTAGTTTATTGATAAATTAATTTCAATGTAATTTATTACATTAAAATGATTTTAGAGATACAAATAAGAGTTTCTGGATGTTGCAATGCTTATTCTCGTTTTAAAGCATATTTACGTTAAGGCGAAATGTGAAATCCAATAGATTTTATTAAACGTTTACCATGGTTGAAGAATACAGGTAGATGCATCAACGCTTGGGAACATTGATATATCAAAATTGTTAAATGTCTTTAATATAAATAGATTTTTATATGATTTCTTATACGACGTCGATCTGAGGTTATTATAATATGGCCGGTTATCACATCTTTCCGATAGATAAAAAAGTTATGTTGTCGGACACAAAAATCGTTTTTCGTTATTACAAGTCTCATTTAAATAAAAACTGTCCGATAAGTAAAAGGCCAGACCATCTCCCCTTTATAATTTAACGTAAAGTTTATTGAATTCATGTTGTCATATTTTATATTGATAATATGACAATAACAGCAAAATATATTTTTAAATAAAGAAATGGATAACGCAAATCATTTATTTTATATTGAAGAGCTGAATTATAAATTTAATTCACGAAATTAATTACAAATTCGTTTTGTTTATTATTTTCAACCTAAAATGAAGATGCCATTGTGAAAAAAATGCTGTGACTACCAGTTACTTTTAAAAAAGCTTGCCATATCTCTGTAAGAAATGCATATACTTTAAAGGAAAGATGTAATAATGAGAATCCGATAATGTGAACTTTATCCTTCACTTTTCCTAAAGTAAGGGGTAACAAAAGTGGACTATAAAGGGAAAATATAAGAACGGGCCTATGCGTTTTTCCGCAACTCTTACATATTTGAATAATTTTACTTTTAAAATGTTCAATTCCAAAATTATTTTGATTGTTCATTGTCCTAGCAGCTGTGTGGATGCGTCTACCTGTATTCTTCTACCATAGCGTGTACGCAAAGGCAATGACAGTTGAAATCCATGGTAGAAGAAAACAGGTACATGCATCAACGCTTGGGAACATTGATATGTCAAAAGTTTTAAAATGTTTTTCATATGCGACGCAAATCGGAGGTTGTTATGATATGAATTTTTGAAATTAATTTACGAATTTCAATATTTTCTTCATTCAACATTTTCAATTCCAAAGTCGGGTTGACAGTTCATTGTCCCAGCAGCTGTGTCGATGCGACTACCTGAATTCTTCAACCATGGTTGAAATCTATTGTATATATTATAGTATATATAATATTGAATTAGAGTTGCAATTTTCATAGTGAAAATGTAGTTGTCAAATGCCTATTATGTGATAATTAATTAAAATATTAAAACAAATTGTCAGATTTTTATTTATTAGTTAAGAAAAAAATTCAATGTTTACCTCTCATTCACTCATTTGTTTCTCTACGAAGAAGAAGCCAGCCGATGACTTGTTCCAGTTAAAAGAGCAATTTATGTGTTCCCACCTGTACTTTTTTGTCGAACAGATATGGGAAGATGCATGGTAGGATTAAGAAGGTAAAGTCATGCAATCATTATAATTTACAATTTTTTTTTAACATTTTTGATTTGACAACTTCTTGTTGTCAAGTTTTATATTTATTAATCAGTTGTAAATATACAAATCATTAAAATTTGACAATGTAAATTATAGAAAATATAGAGTTGGATATTCTTATTTGAAATGACTTTACCTTCTTAATTTTACCATGGAAAAATGGAAAAATTCTTCATTTTTGGCTTATTTTCTTTTTGATTTTGAACAAAAACAAAGTTTACATCTTAAGCTGCTATCAGACGATATTATTAAGGTTACATTGTGATTATATTGTATTTTCTACAAAAATACTTTTTGGGTGACTTTTTACCGCAAATGTAATTTTGTATATTTTCACACTACGAGCAAACAACACTTTTGGTTATTTTTTTCCAATGAAAATAGGGCTAATTTTGATCGAAAAGGCAAATATGTGCTTTACTCTAATATTTCACAACTCAAATGTCGTCCATGTATCATACGATGTGTGCAACTTCTAGTGTTTTCGTTATCGTTCGAACGTAAATGTACAACGGAGGAAACATTTGCGACATTTAAGTGTACCGCAGTACCAAGGTAAAATTCAAGTTGGTTGGTTGGAGTTGGTTACTCCGGATAAAGTCTTAAACCTGAACGCGCCATAAAATTTCACAGTTAATAAAGGTGTAAGTACATAAGAAGCTTGAAGTCATGGCTACGCATATTTTTGACATTTCATAAAGGGATTACAGAGTAGCACTAAAATCCTGCAGTCGTTTTCCATTTTAATTTGACATTAAATGCCTAGCCATAACTTCAAGCTTTTTTTGATCTTGCACCCATGGCACAATTACAGACCGTAGAACAAAGCTACCCCCCAAATACAATTTTTTTGGTACCTTTATTCTGTCAAAAGATATACACATATTGTGAATGTGTGTATTGTTTTGAATAAAAAATACAATAATTTGAAAATTCTTTAAATTCTGTTGCAAAATTAATGAAAATTTTCGACGTTAGAGGCAACACATTGTAAAATTTTTGGGTTAAACTGTATTGTCCTACTATGTTAGATTCAATCTTATGAAATAAACCAAACATTCCATTCTTGTTTTGCGGGTTTTTCCCAATATAAGAATTTTGTTAAAAAAAATTAAAATAAACAAAAGCCAACTGTTGCATATCTAAAAGTATTTTTGACACTATAAGATTCCAGTTCAGAGTTGAATTTTTCAAGTTTATTTGGAGTTGAGCAACCTTTCTTATTGAACCATGCTTGCACCTTAAGTACTTTCTTTCCATGTTTATGTTATTGAAATTCTCTGATGTTCATTAAGAATATCGGCAGAACCATTTTTTTTAATAATACCCTTAGTGAAATTCATCTTCACATCCCTGATTCATGCACAGTCTCTCAATCATCTCTTACTACAGTGAGTTTAGTGTTGGATTTCGCCGAAAGCTAGCAGTTTTGTGACTCATTGATCGCAAAATCTCTTTAATAATTTCAGTTCTCACAAACGGTTGGCATAAATAATGTTGCTTGACGAGTTGGAGCTTTTGAGCCATGATGGTGTACGCTTTTATGGTTATTCCATATATTTTCATTTGTGGCTGGCAGTATTCATCTGCAATGACCAACACAAATACCCACAATTGCAATTGCTGACGTCAATGAATTTTCCGGGAAAATGCACTAAATCGCCGATTTGGCATAACGCATAAAACTCAAAATAAACTTGTTGTAATAACCGACCAATAACATTTTGATACCGATAAAATAAATTCCATAAAACTTTTAAATATTTGATCTGTTCCACAACCTGCAACTACTTACTCCCATGGTACAATAAAAAGGTAAGGTAGAGCTACCAGCTGATTACAATTTTTTTTCTAAGTGTGCCCGACTTCTGCCAATTTTATGTATGTATTTGTTCTTTTGAAAAATAAAAACAAAACATTTTCAAAATCAATGATGGGAAGAAATTTAAATTGCGGGGCACGCATTAATGATATTAACCAGATTTGCCATGGAATTGAAAGATTGAACACTTAGGATTATATTTTTGAGAGAACATGCTAGCATTTCATTCATCTTTCGCGCTATTCGACTCATGTTAAAAATGAAGAAAACATATCAAATAAATGAAAACAACTTGTTGCCTATAGTTTTGAATAATTCTGACAGGAAACCGTCATAGCCTCAGGGCTGTATTTCTGTAGTTTTACGAAGCTGTTCTACTTCCTTATTGAACCATGCTTACTCCTTTTAATGGTAGAAGAATTCAAGTAGTCGCATCGTTACATCCCATGGTAGAAGAATATAGGTAGACGCGTCGACACAGCTGCTGGGACAATGAACTGTCAAACCAATTTTGGAATTGAAAATGTTGAATGAAAAATTAATTTGTAAAAATTGTGAAAAACGCAAATTATAATAGCCTCCGAATGACCTAGTATAAGAAAACATATAAAAATCTACTTATATTTGAAAAAACATTTAAATTTTTTTGACATATCAATGCTCCCAAGCGTTGGTGCATCTACCTGTATTCTTCTGCCATGGATACATCCGCTGGCACAATGAACTGTCAACCCGATTTTGGAATTGAAATAGTTGTATGAAAACTAATTCGAATTTGTAAAAAGTGTTGGAAAATGCATAAGAAATCAAATAAAATCCTACTTATTTTTGATAAAACATTTTAAAAAATGTAACATATCAATGTTCCTAATCGTTGATGCGTCTACCTGTATGCTTCTACCATGCTCCTTTTGCAATTATAAACATTTTTACATTATAGGTTTTAGCACGTTTTGATAGAGCAAGTGGTTTAAGTTTGTTTGTTTAGATACAGTAATGATAGAATTAGAAACGTAACCTCACTTAATTATTGGAAATCCAGCTCTGCATTTTCTGTCGTTTACACACAAAATCTTTACTCGGACTTATTGTGATAAGTATCCAATTAAATACGGAGACAACTGACTTTGCTTTTATATAAATTGGTGACCGTCTGCAAAGAAAATACAATATATGCCGTATATGGAATAGAAAATACAATATATATGTAGATTCCTCACTCGATCTAAAATAAATTCATCGTGAGATCTATTTTTGTAATGTAAATCTAGTTGATTATAAGAATTTGGTATATAAACGATCTATTAGATTTCACCAATGCTGGATTTCAAAAATTATTACATTCACTGTTTTCCCTAGACACGCTGACTGTCCGCGCTGCTATTTGGATTCTTTATTTGCTTATTTAGTGATTTGATAGACTATTTTACAAGATATCAGATCTACTTTTGAATTTTTTATCCGAAAAATATACAACGAAAACGAATAATAATAACAATATAATAAAGCAATTTTTGCCATATTGAAAGTCTTGATTTTCTTTTCCTATAAACTCTACATGTGGCCGTCGACTTCACTGTGATATCTTCAAACGGCGACCATTTTCAGGCAAAACCGGCATCGGGTTTCCGTTTTGTTTCCACCTCTGTACTCTGGTCTCGTGAACGAAGAAAAATTAATTTTTTCACCTAAAATTAATTTATTTACAAATTACGACGAAGTAATATTACAAAAGAAATGAAATCAAATATTTTTCTGGAGCTTTTGGCTCTATGTGTCATGGCATGTTTTGCCACAGCGGATTTGACAATTCAAGATGAATTGGTGGTAAATAGATGATGGTGACCTTTTTCTCAATTGTTCATGTTTTATTAATTAATGCACTTTAACACGTCTACCACCGAATAGGATGAAGTATCTGGTTTATTTACAATTGAGGGCAAAGTTTATCCACCCGAGGCCCAACAGATGTCCTACAATCCCAATGCAGTTCCCAACAACAAATGGCAAGGAGACACAGTGCTCTCTATTAATGGGGGTGAATACAAAGGTTTCATAAGGGAAGATGGTTCTTTCATTATTAGTTCAGTGCCTTCCGGAAGTTATGTTGTGGAAATTGTTAATCCAGATTATTTCTATGAACCGGTCAGAGTAGAAATCAATCCCAAAGGAAAATTCCGTGCGCGTAAAGTAAATTATGTACAGCCGTCTCAGATTGTACAAGTGCCTTACCCACTAAAGCTGAAGGCATTGACCAGATTTAAGTATTTCCAAACAAGAGAGCAGTGGAAGGTAATTTAACAATTTGTGTTACTGAAATTCTTTATTCTTATCCATTTTCTGTGTGCTTTAGATCACTGATTTCCTCTTCAGTCCCATGGTGTTGATGATGGTGGTTCCCTTGCTGCTCATGTGGGTATTACCCAAAATGATCAACGATCCCGAGACCAAAAAGGAATTAGAAAACATGCAATTCCCCAAAATGAACAATGACATGCCGGAAATCAGTGAAATGATTACATCGCTTTTTACCGGCAATCCCCCCAAACAACCGGAGAAAGAAAAGAAGCCCTCATCCAGCGCCAAACAAACCAAAAAGAGGAACTAGTCATAGTGCAAGGTTTAGGAAATTATGTATTAGTTTATTTACTTGTAACGCATACAAATATCAAAACATTACTATTATTCTACATACATTGATTTTTTTGTAATAAAAACTTATTTAAACAATGGGCTGCTTATATTAACAGCATGAATAAAACGTAAAGAAGACGACAAACTTGACATTCATTTCAAAAATCCAACAGTCTCTTTCCTTTTGTTTCCCACACGGGATTCTTCCAAACGCAGGGCTTTCTCGAGGGCATCGTTGAGTGTTGCACCAGCCGTAACGCCCAAGTTTAAACATTTATACATGGTGTCTTTGTGCAATGATCCACCACCTACAGTGTGTGTATGTGAGACATAACCTAAAAAACGAATAAAAAAGATAAGATCAGTACCAGAGATTTTAAGTAACATATCAACTACGATATAGACTAACTTTCAAAACACAATTTTAGAATATGAATTTTACTCTTCAAAACATTGGTTGGCAAAACGCTGCACATTTTGTTTGTATGTTGAATTGAAAATATGCAACAACAGTATTTTGGAATCGAATATATAACATAATTTTTTGTACAATAGTTATACACGATACCTTGTATTAAAAACTAATGATGAATGATTTAAAATGCTGCACCAAAGTTACTAATCTGTGCGTTCATTTATTCTTTGCTACTGAATACTTACATTTATTATTTCTTTTCGAGACTCCCACTACTAAACTTGCTGTACTGCATTGTTCTTCCTCGGCTGAGGGATCTACCACACAACAATCTCCTATTTTACAAACTGTTACCAATATCGGAATGTTATCAATTTCAATGCGTGTACAATTATAGGGGTCATCGGAAATTAACAATTCAGCCTCTCCAGCGTCCATAACAGCAGCAGTAACTTTGGGAATTCTTGTATTGAATATAGCCGCTTTGGATGCTAATGACACGGCATCAAATAAATTTCCACCACACTCTAAAATCTATAAAAACATGTTTTAGAAATGGGATTATAAACAATGGTTTGACAGTAATACCAGAATATCCACATAGAGTTTCCAACAATGTTGCCCCGGTAATATACACAATGATTTAAGGTCAAAGGCTGAAGGTGACTCGTAGGCATTCGTTAGAGTATCGGCCAGCTCTAAGGCTAGTTCTTCACCACCTCTGCCCTCAAATTCAGGTGTGGCATTAGCAGAGCTGAAAGTATTTGGAAATTAAAGTAGTATTAAAACAAATTCATAACTTTAGTACGATTCTATAGAATCTTAAAATATATTTATTACTTACCAATCAACAAAGAACTCAATTTTCCCCTGATCCGGATGCAATGATGTGGGTGTATCAATTTCGCATTTCACACCAACCAGGATATCAGTATTTGCCAAACGTAATCTTGCCGACCCACTGGCATTGTTTACTATTTCACATTCCAATTCCATGGGACGATAATCACGGCGCGAACGACCATCACATCGGAAGTCCTCCTGCAAAACACGTAATAAATATTAGTAAGAAAAATACATTGATAAATATTAAGACATTGGAAACTTGCCTCAACACCATGTAATATAAAGGTTTTCTCAGCTTCACTTAGTGCTACGTTTGCCATTATTTCCTATTTATTTGCAGGCCCCTTTTAAATCACCTATGTAAGAGATAATTTAAATTTTAAATCTAAATTAGGTTTTCTTTTAGAAAAAGGAAAATTGGTTAAATGTAAACTGTGAAAAAGATTCAAGTCAGTCCTGCTGGCTTTTCAACGTCCGCCAAAATTCAAACACGTGAGAAGTACAAGCTTTACCCGCCTCCGTTTTCATATAACAAATCACTGAAGGGATTGAAACTCCAATTAATTAAGACTCGATGACTACCTTCTGGAATGTCTCCTCAGCCTTCAGTGGTTTTTAAATATTTATAAATAAAAAAAGACAGATTTCAACTTACTGAACTGAAATCCGACCAAAGAATCAACAACTGAAACAGAAAAGCTGATAAATGTTTAGAATCAAAACAAAATCACCGACAAACTGGATTTAAGGGGTTTGAAGATCGAGAAAAGAATATTAGGGCATACCAAATCGGGTTTACTGTAATATAACTGTTGTCATATTGTTTAACATTAGTACGAAACAGGAGCCAAATATATAGATAATATTTTAAAATATCTAAATAATTTTTCAGATTTATTTCCGTTGCTTTGATTTCACGAACGTCCAGAGAAACTACCAAGGTTCTCGAATATTTTAGATTAAATAATTGAAGAAGTTAATGAAAAAAGGGGTTTCCGTTCCAATAAAGGTTTTACTAACCGAATAAATTTTGAGTTCTATCTAGCAAAAAATACTACGAAATATAATATCAACCATGGCTCAATAAGAAAGGTTGCTCAACTTCAAAGAAGCTAGAAAAATACAATCTGTGCTGGCGTCTTATTGTGTCAAATAGACTTGTAAATATGCAACAGTTCTTATATTGGGGAAAGCACGCGAAATAAAAATGAAATTTAAGGGTTATTCCACAATATTGAATCTAATATAGTAGGACAATGCAGTTTTATCCCAAAATTGTACAATGTGTTGCCGATAAGCGTAGAAAATATGCATTTATTTTGCAATCGAATTTGAAATATTTTCAAATTATTGTATTTTTTACTAAAAACAATATACAAACGTACACAAAGAAAAACATTTTGTTAAGGGCAAAGCTTAAAAATAATCAGAATGAACGCCCACTTTAAATTTTGTTTAACGCGTCATTAAAAAAGGAACAACTGCACATTCGGTGCCGTTATAGCCGTTTTTTGCTAAATTTCAAAGTAAATATTGGGAACAGTTAAACGAAACCCATATGATATTTTACAACATGTGAAGGCACCTAGAAAACATAATGTTATCAATTGTCAGTGAATGGCGTCTTTCAAAAATAAGAAGAAGACCAAAAAACATTCAAGTCATTTTGCAAAAGACCAATTGCGAACTGCCTGCCGGAACGATTTTAATATTTTCATTGAAGATTCATTTAAAACAAATCTTTAATCATGGTTTTTGGAAATGATTGGATGGATGCTGCCCACAGCACTGGTGTAAGTTAACAATATATTCATTATTTTTTTTATTTTTGACAAATACCTCCAAACTTGATCTCTTCCAGACAACTATCATGGCCGTGGAATTTGATGGTGGCGTTGTTATTGGTGCCGATTCACGTACCAGCACTGGTGTCTATGTCGCCAACAGAGTCACCGATAAATTGACTCGCATCACCGACAAAATCTATTGCTGCCGCAGTGGTTCGGCGGCTGACACACAAGCCATTGCCGATATTGTTGCATACTCCCTAAACTATCATGAAAATCAAACCGGCGAAGAACCATTGGTAGCTGAAGCTGCCTCGGAATTCCGTAACTACTGTTATAACTATAGAGATTCATTGGTAGCTGGCATTATTGTTGCCGGTTGGGATAAGAAAAAAGGTGGTCAAGTTTATTCCATACCATTGGGCGGTATGTTGAAACGAGAGGCGTGCACAATTGGTGGTTCTGGTTCCAGTTATATTTACGGTTTTGTTCGGGAGTTCTTTAAGCCCAACATGAAAAAGGATGATTGTGTGGAGTTCGTTAAAAAAGGTAGGTTCAAGCTTGATTGGGCTGTGGAAAAAGAAGTTAGGGAAATTGGGAAAATTGCGAAAGTAACGGGTTTGTATTAAGTGTGGTCGATAACAAAATCATAGCAAAGACACAAACAGATCGGAAGTGACTTAGCGGTTTTTATTTGTTAATTTTGATATTAAGATGCATGGCATTGAAATAATTTCAAAATATCAGTTCCTTGTTATGTCAAGAAAGTATTTTGTTTCAAAACTCCGCAATACAAAATTCATGCAAACTATTTGAATCCAAAACGTGTATGAAATCCCGTAGATTTTAAAAGCTATGCATTTGTGGTAATTATAGCATCTGTGCGCAATGCAATGTTTTGAAAACTGCAATATTTCAATACGTTTTGGACAGAAGCCATACTCTTCTTGTGTCTTTACTATATGGTTAAATGATCAATGCTTCATATTTGGCACTTCTTCCACTCGGGTCTCGTATAATAATGACATATCAAAAAGGTTATATTAATTTTCAATTTTATAATTTTTAGCTGTAAGACATGCCATGTATCACGATGGCAGCTCCGGTGGTGTTGTACGCATTGGTATTATCACAGAAGACGGCATTGAAAGGAAATTATTCTTCAACACTGAATCTGGTGAGGCCGTAGTCGCCGGTCAATAAGCACCTTTATAAATTTTGTTTAATGAATATGAAAATAAAACTTTTGTAATAAATTTAAATTGAAAAAAATAAAACTTGAAAGCGGGAGCTTCAAAGAAGCTAAAAATTAAAAATTGTTATTGATTTAAAGTTATTTTTTACAGAGCCGATGCAGCCATATAAACCAATTATTTCATACTCCATCGTTGTATTTTAACTCCAGATGAGACAAACAAAACAATACTGTTGAGTTCATCATATGCAACAAAAAAAATTGTTCGGTGGAATGGGAACGCCATTCTGGATGAGATAAAAAAAACTGCAACAAAGTCAAACGTATAATAATTTTTACATTTTATGTTAATTTTATTGAATGAAAGCAAAAAATGTCGGAAATATCAAATTTTAGAATAAGTTTAGATTTGTTCGGAACCGTCACACGCTGCAAGAATATTGCTCTGCGGTATTTTGGCCCAGCGCACAATGGCCACCAAAATCTCGGATACCAATTCGTTGGACTATTGTGTCTGAAGTATTTTGGAAAGCAAGGTTGGCACTATAAAATACCAAAGTGTCGATCACCTCAAGCAAGCGCTTCGCCGGAAATGAAGCGAGGAACCTCATTTTGTAACCATTCTTGGGTGGCGCATGCTGAGTCCTGTTGGAATGTCCAATGTCTGCGGCCAAATGTTGGCGTGCATAAGGCTTTAATACACCCTCCAGAATATTTTCGCGATAATATTCGGCATTTATTCTGATGCCACGGTCGATTAATACGAGCGGAGAGCGACCATCAGCTGTTATGGCGGCCCACACCATCACCATGGCCGGGACTTGAGTTCTGGTGGCGAACCGAAGGGGCACATTTTCAGCTGACCTCTTTGGCAAGTAAACACGTTTGTTTACAAACTCCAGGGCAACGAATGTTGACTCGGAGAAAACAAAATTCGGCAGTTCACCACTTTCGGCCAGGCGAAACAACTCTTTAGCTCTTTTGAGTCTATTTTTATTCTGTTGCGGTGTAAGTTCTTGCACTCTTTGGAATCTCAATGGCTTTACCCCGAGCTCATTTTTAAATATTTGTCGAATGGAATATTGCAATATGTTCAGCTCACTACTCATTTTTCGGCCACTGCGACGCGGGTTTCGATCAAGTCGCTTCTTTACTTTTGAACCATTTCTGCTGATGTTGCTGTTTTCTTCCGTCCACTTCCTTGGCGTCGGGCTACGCTACCAGTATCACGGTCACGAGAGATGGTACGAAACACAAAAGATTTATTTACATTTAAATGCTGGAGTGCTCTAACGATAGCCACTTCTGGTTTTCCAGCCAAATATAAAGAAATTCACACTATCACCCTTGAATTTTAACACGAATAACTTTTTTTCTGGAAAATTCTCACCAAAATACTTTTGGACGCTTTTAAACAATATAATCGGCGGTCACTGGAATAATTTTAACAGCTGTCGGACGAGTGGCTTAGAAATAACAGCAGTCTGAAGTTGGTTGCAGTTTTTTCATCCCACCCTGTAGAAGGGAAAATCTGTGATGGTAGACGACAGCTTATCGAAGATCAAGGAGCACGGTTCAACAACCTTTTGATGCTTACTGGGACAAAAATTAGTTCCGAAAGTTTTTAGGTTGTGTTATGGCGGTAAACAAGTTGGATACTTCAAAAACCCCTTCCCTGAGAGAGCATTAACTTGAAACAAAAGAAGCGTGTTTATGTACGTATTTTTCTTTTTTTATTCTTCATATCATAAGTATAAATTTTTAAAAAATATATTAAGATATATATCGAATATAGTATAATGAGGTTTTTATAAACTAAACATTGAAGTTAAAAAAATTGACAATATCACAAGTTAAAATTGTGTATAAAACCTTAGATAACACACGCATAGTAAAATAAATATATATTATTTTTAAATCTTCCGCCCATGTTACGCAAACCGTTTATATTTTTTTTATTTAAAAAATCACTTATTTCTGAATGCTATACATATATAAACTAATCAACTTATCGTCTAATAATACTTTAAAAAATGCCTTCTTAATAAATTCATGCTTTTTCAGATCTCTTCCTATGCTTATGAAATATATATTTAACAGTCAATTTGCTTTGGTTTTGTTATTGTTGTTGTTGCTATTGTTGGCGGTGTATTCAGGCTTTGCTGTTCTGCTTCGGCTTCAATGTCAGAGCTTAAAGGTTGCGACGACTGTACATTTGTATGCGTCTCTTCTCCTTCTTGTAGCCTCTGAAGACGTTTCTCTTTTAGATATAAACGATATCTATAGAACATTTCAGGTGTCCACACACAAATCACAAACAATAACAAAGCATTTTGTGCATGTAGACATAAAACATAGGATTTGGTAAAGTCTCTGACCCAACCCAAAAGTTGACCCACACTTATGACTAGAACACCTTTGGCAATCATGTTTAGACCAAGTCCACCGGGCAATTTTTCAGGCTTACAATGCCCAGAGATTGTAAGATTATTGTTGAGTACTGTGGCAGATTTTGTCATGCCAGTAAAAATGGACATAACAATAATGCTGGTAAGATCAACGGATTCGGCAAGAGCTGTTTTGGATTGAAAGAAAGGAAATGGAAAAGATCAGTGGTGTATTCAAAGAAATATTTTATTTTTGCTAACTTACCGGCTCTGGATATGAGCAATCCCACTGTGCCCAATAAGAAAATAACACGATAAGGTATTTTCAATTTATCTGTTATGCAGGGCAATAAAAGACGGCAAATGATATCAGCGCCAGCCATTATTGACATACAGGTAGCAGTTGTTTTTGTGGTGTAACCAACAGAGTCCTGAAAAAGAAAGAAAAATTTAATTAAATATTAAAAACAACAAAAACATTTCCAAAAATAACCCGAAAATTAAACTTAAAAAGAAAAAAATATTCGTCATAACCTCAAATATTCAAACAAGTTTTTAAATAAACTACGAATATTACACAAACAATTGTTTAGATATGTTTAAATATTAAAATTTGTTAGTAATTTAAGTTAAATTCTGGCTTATTAATATTAGGCCTAACCTTAAATTATTGAAAATTTTTTAAGTCCGAATTTTAAATAGATATAAAAAATGGCTAGGCTCAAAAGATAAACCAGATAAACCAAAAAATAGTTAACAAGATGTAAAAAAAATATAACATAACCTCCCACATTTTTAAATAACCTCAACCTATTTAATATAGCTCAGCTACTTTAAATTACCTGTAAAAAGCTGGGAAATATCATTGTAAAATTGATTGTTGACGTATAGACCAAAGCCATGCCAATAATTATGCTTAAAAATATAGGATCCTTTAATAATTCCAAATCCATTGCTTCTATAACACGTTGACACAATTTGCGACACAACAACGAATCACTGCCACAGCAGCTAGTTGTCCTAGCGGTTTTTTCCAAAGGCAGTGTCGTTGCTTTGTATATTTCAACATTATTTTGTCGTGGTAACAAAGAAACTTCCTGGGATTTTTGTTTATCCATTTCTGGCTCATTATTGACAATTTTAATTTCCATGACCGAATCTTCACGTTGAACTTTTGCTTTGTCTGCACCGACGGTGGAGCGTGGTATTATTGTAAAATGTTTACGATTGTTGTGCGTTGTATTCGATTCGGTTTTGCTTGGTGTTAATGGTTTCAGTAGAAGGGCACCAATTAACTGTAGAATTAAAAAAGAAAAAACAAAATAATGTAAATATTTGCAATTTGTTGGTAGCTGTTTTAAGACTATACTTACACCAATAAGCGAAAGCATTGACATTGCCAGAACTGCAACACGAAACCCGTAGTTATCCAGGAAAAATCTCACAATGTGGGGTATGAAAACTTGGCCAAGACCAGCTCCAGCCAAGGAGACACCAACAGCACGACCCCGTTTGGTGGTAAAGTATGAATTAATGGCCATAAATGTTGAGGGTGCTATCAGGCCCAGACCCAAACCAACCTGTGACAAATATACAGAAAAAAGAAAATATTTAGTTTGTGCTTTGCTTTTGGAAAACCCGCAGTGAAACTTACAAATAAACTATAACCCACAATAAAATGCCAACCCTCTGTGGCAAAGGCACATAGACTTAGGCCAAAGGACACCATAACACAGCCACAAATTGCCACATTGCGTGGCTTAAAGCTCTTAATGGCAGGTCCAATGAATAAGCCCGAAAAGTTCAAAGCCAAACTGTTTAGATTTGTAATAAGAGCTGCAGTAAAGGTCTCCTGCTGCATATCCCTTAGTTGGGCACCAAAAAGCAAACCAAACACTGATAAGATTGACTGATTTGTCATCTAAAATAATGAAGGAAAAATACAAATGTAAATAAAGGTAAGGCAATGGTCTATGGGAATTGTACAATGTTAAATAAGTACTTACATTTATTAAAGCCACTGCTGCCACCACAACCCAGCCCCAGCCACCATCAGGAGGAACAATTGTTCCCGAGGCCACGTCCATTTTGAATAAAGTAAATATTTGCTTTACAAATCTGCAAATAAAAAAATGAGATCAAATTAATATCATTGCTACAAAGAAGGAGGTGCTTCACTTTGCACTTCTACGTCTTGATCCATTCCACGGGGACCAATCTAAATATTATGATTCAAAGTAAACAAAATGGATGGTTCAACAAATGGTTTGTATCCATAACTTTATTTTGAATTTGCAGCAACTTCCTGATAAAAGCCCATCACTGTATGCATCTCTACAAAGAATTTGTAGTAATGCGTTTTTGTTTATTCGAATGTGCTAAAGAACCAGACAGAATTAATATTGGACGTGTTATCTTAACGCTCGTTTATGGCTAACTGCTAACATAACAATGTGATAAAAACGAAGAAAAGAGCAACTTAGTCATTTTCCAAAGGTAAATGCTCTGTAAGGTAATCATATTGAAATAACATATATATTTATATAATACATTTTGTTGGCGATTTTGTCAAATCGTAGTACTGTATTTTTTTTTCTTTTTTTTTTTTGAATTTGCACTATTTTTCTACTATTTTTTGTACTGATATTCGGTGATATTCTATCGGAGGAATGACAAGTAATGTGCTTTTAAGTTCAAATGCACCAAACTTTTAACAACCAAATGGAACAAAACTATATACATACTTTAAAAGAACTTAATCATGGAGCCAACAATTAAGTTTGCCATCCACTGAGGACTGGAAAAAGTGCATTATGGTTGATTTAGGAGAATGTTGTTAAAACATCGAAAATCCGAGAAAAAGCGGGATATAAAACAAAATAATACCTAACGCTACATGTAAGCTACATATTTGTAGATGTAGATAACATTTAAAATAAGCGCAATACCATCTTGCTCTGAAAAATTAATCTTATTTTTTAACTTTTATTAAAGCATACAAATTTTGCATCATTAAGAAAAATCCAAAAAATTTACAAAAGATGATCGTTATTACGACACTATAATTTAAATCAGACCCGGCATGAACTTCATTTTTCAGGGTTGGAGATATACGAAGGTTTTGTTTATTTTTATTAACGAGATTATAAATATTGGCTTTTGTTAATAAAAAAAAGGTATCTTGGAAATTAAAAAAGAGAATATATTAATGATAAGATATGAAGTATTTTATATAGCTTCCGTGGCTTTATTGAGGTGTAGTGGATGTTGTGCAAATTTACATTAAAATAGGTTGAAACAAAAAAGCTTAAATAAATCGGTTTCCAGGGTGTGCTCATGTCGATTACAACATGAAAGTAGAAGAAAAACTCATACAAATTTGGTGGTTTTTTAACCATTACCATTTTGAAATACCCACATACAACCCATACATTTCAAACTGCCTCGAACCACCTTAATGTCCGCAATATTTTATTTACAAATAAACGACAAACATACCAACAAACTACACTACATACGAGCCTAGCAATAAGTGGACGGAAGCTATTTTGTGAATTTTTGACACCCAAAAACAAGCACGTTCAATCGCAACTTTGTTGTTATTCTTTTGTCTGCACACACAAACACACATTTTTTTTTTTTCAAGAATGGTCCTTTGTTGCAATTGTTTAATTTTTGTAATCAAATAAATACGATAATGTGAAGACAAGTAAAACGGCATAAGTTGAGTTTAGGGGCTGTGCTCGGATTGACTTGAAATTTATACTACAGGTAGGTATTTTTAAACTGATTACGGCAATATAAATTTTTTGTGGGGGAAATAACCGGTTACCCGGTTATTGGACCCGAAAGTTCAGATACAATGTTCGGTTTTTATCCGGTTCCACTGAACCGATACAAACAAAATGGGTATCATTGGAAAGCTTATGAAAATACCTATCCAACAAGTGGTCACATGAACCGGTTACAAGAACCGGTTCCAGAGTAATGCAAGAAAATTGATATTTTTTACCAGTACTTTTTGAAAAACCCATAAAAACTCGAAAATTGACCCATTATAGGGTCTTAAAATCTATACACAATATTATAGCTAACACTATTGCCTTTCCAAAATGGTGTCATATGTGTTGATATCTTTTGTAATTCCGAAGATATTGGCTTTTAAAGTTGTTACTTATGAAAGTAGTATGAGTGAAGCCAAGTTTTATGTCGGGTTTAACGTTCTTGTTAATCTGCTTTGTTTTTAATTTGGTGTTGTTAGAATATTATGGATCGCGTAGTCGGTGTTGGACATATCCCAGAGGAGAAAATCTTAAGCCCCGGCCGAAGGCCGGCTACTTACAAAAATTACAATTTTTAGAAAAACTATGGATCGCGTAGCCGGTGTTGGACATACCCCAGAGGAGAAAATCTTAAGCCCCGGCCGAAGGCCGGCTACTTTCGAAAACTACAGTTTTTAGGAAACTATTGATCGCGTAGCCGGTGTTGGACATACCCCAGAGGAGAAAATCTTAAGCCCCGGCCGAAGGCCGGCTACTTACAAAAATTACAATTTTTAGAAAAATTAGCGATCGCGTAGCCGGTGTTGGACATACCCCAGAGGAGAAAATCTCAAGCCCCGGCCGAAGGCCGGCTACCTACGAAGATTACGATGTTTAGAAAAACTAGCGATCGCGTAGCCGGTGTAGGACATACCCCAGAGGAGAAAATCTCAAGCCCCGGCCGAAGGCCGGCTACCTACAAAGATTACGATGTTAAGAAAAACTAGCGATCGCGTAGCCGGTGTTGGACATACCCCAGAGAAGAAAATCTCAAACCCCGGCCGAAGGCCGGCTGTTTAAAAATGCTATAGAGGTTAGATACATTTGACTGGAGAAAAAATTGCAAATTAATGACTTCTATCACTAATATCTTCGGAACTACAAAAGATATCAACATGTATGATACCATTTTGGAAAGGCAATATTGTTGGCTATAATACGGTATGTAGATTTTAATACCTTATAATGGGTCCATTTTTGAGTTTTTATGGGTTTTTCAAAAAGTACTGGTAAAAAATATCAATTTTCTTGCATTACTCTGGAACCGGTTCTTGTAACCGGTTCATGTGACCACTTGTTGGATAGGTATTTTCATAAGCTTTCCAATGATACCCATTTTGTTTGTATCGGTTCAGTGGAACCGGATAAAAACCGAACATTGTATCTGAACTTTCGGGTCCAATAACCGGGTAACCGGTTATTTCCCCCACAAAAAATTTATATTGCCGTAATCAGTTTAAAAATACCTACCTGTGGTAAAAATTTCAAAATGATCAGAGCACAGCCCCTAAACTCAACTTGCTCCAGTAAAACAACAACAAACCAACCAACCATATCAATGAAGAAGGGCGCAGAAAACCTTTTGTATTGCACGTTCATACAATGTAACTACATACTTACAACAATGACAAACACGTATTTTAATTTATAATTATTTACATAATATCACTTTAAAGAATTCGGACCATATAGTAATGTATTCCGTATATATTATTCCATAGAATATTTAAATATTTCACTTTCTTTTTGCACACGCAAACTACGGACGCCAACGACGAACAACCAAAACAAATACACGACGAAAATAATAACAGCACCAGCGATACAAAATCATACGACCGCTCCGAACGTTGTCACAAGAGAAAATTGAAGAAATGGAAATGTTTTTGTATCAGACAGCCCCCAAATAGCCCCAAATGTTGCTAATATTTTGTCATCATTTTTGGGCACAATGAAAACGTTAGGCGTTAAGGGTGGAAATAATCTAATTTCTTGATTAGTTGAAGCATGATAGAAGCATACAGGAATATGCATCGACGCTTGGGAGCATTTATATGTCAAAAAATGTTTTTTCTTTATAGACTTATATATATTTAAAAATATATATATTTACAAAGTTGAATTCCTAATTTGGTTTGACAGTTCATTGTCTCAGCAGGTGTGTCGATGCGACTACCTTTGTTCTTCTACCATGATTGAAGCTAAATCAAAAATGACAACGGCGTCAAAATTCCCGAGCGTCTCTGACATGATAAAAAGTTTAAACGTCAAACTTTTGAATGAAAAAGTATTAAAATTTATAAAAATTGATGAGAAATTCATATTATAACAACCTCTGAATTGCATCGTATAAAAATTTAAAAATCCACTTATTTTTCATAAAACATTTTAAAAATATTGACATATCAATGTTCCCAAGCGTTGATGCATCTACCTAAATTCTTCTTCCATGGCAGTTTATGGAAATAGCTTTGTTCGAGAATCTGGAAAGTTTTGCTATAAATGTTAAATGATAACCAAGTTTTTTTCGGAACTACAGAAGTTGATAATCATGCTACTATTTTTTCACTTTACCAAATTTGTTTAGTTAAATGTTCTGAAATAAAACCGCTTTTTGTCTACAAAGCTACTGTTATCAGCTGTGTCTGCTGACATTCTAGATAATTAGTAGCAAACGTATCGTATCGTACCGTATTGAAACCTTATCAAATGGTTCTTACGCCCAAAGTAGTAGAACGTTTACAGTTTATCGGATTTTTTAACCGGATTTAAAATGCCAATTTCAATCCAATACGTAAAATAAATCATCATAAAGATAAAATGTTCTTATATAAATACGGAAACTTTCCATTTACATTTTATTAAAACATAATAAATTAGAAATCTGTTTACGATTTTTAAATAATATTGAAAAAATGTATTATTTTTTCTTTTATAAAATTTAAAAATCTTATCCACTTTATTCACACGGAAACAAAGGACAGGTCAATAGAGTTCATGCGTTAAAAACTTCCAAATAAAAACTATCAAAATTTGTTATTATGGCGTAGGCTACCACATTCTTCCGTTAACCCTGTTATTTCAGCAGTACTTAGTTGTTATTTCATTTGTTTAATATTTATGTTGATAAAAACTGCTCAACAGTGACGAAAATAATCGAACCATTATGATAGTGGAATACAACTCTGACCCAATACAACCTGAATTGTGTAAACACCAACTTAGTCAACTTGTTTTGTGTAAACACCATCTTAGAAGTTTTTAAGTAAGAAGTCACATTCAGAGTATTTTACAATTTAATTTACCCTCCACTTTGTACTGGTTTTACGAAAATGATTAAGTTGATAGAGCATAATAAAAGATATTTGGTATTTCTTATTTTACCTATCGTATTCCAGTATATATTTTTGTTATAAAAAATCTATCATTTATTATAACGTAAGAACATTCACAGGGAAGGTCAGTAGGAGAGACCTTTTTAAAAACCAGATTTTTTTTCAGCCACAATTTATTTTTTTGTTTTCAACAAATTTGCGTAGAATAATTCATATGTTTATTTCCTTTCAACAAACTTTATTATCTGCCAAATTCCGAATTCATTTCCAACAAAATCTGTTGTTGACGTCTTGACCTCTCAAGATGACTTTCGAAAAATATTATAATCACAACAATAATAATGGAAAATATTCCAATTTTCGAAAATACATTTTGGCAAACCAGTTTTTTCCAGTTTCCACAGGGGTTGACCTTTTCCCATGATTTTTGACAGTAGCATGTGGTTTTTGTGAAATTATGTTAATGTTAATTTTCTAGAACGAGAAAAAAAAACCGCCCATAGCAAAAAAAAAAAAAAATAAAAATCCCTATGAAATATATACATGAATGTGTAAGTGTTTATGTCCTCCTTGTAGACAAACAAGCAATTAAATCATTCCATGAAAATAAAAATAAAAAAAATATTAATCAGCTGATAAGAAGATCGTTTTAAAGACATATATTTTTCAAAAAACCAGATCAAACCAGTGGCTCAGATTGAGCCTTCGACTTCGACACTTGAGACAGACGGTGTTTTTTTTCAATATTTTCTTTTGTTGAAATTATTTATTGCTTTTCTTGCTTTTCAATCCTACTAAATGTGATGGTTCTAATCGAAATATTTACATATGGACATTTAAAATATTCAATTGATAACGGTCATTTGGGGTTAATGCGAATTCGCTATTCGAATGTGTTCAATCCGTTCGCCTTCTTCCATTCGTAGTGACTCGAACACTAGGGTCCGCAATATTGCCTTAACTGTGTCATAAACCCTATATGTGTTCAGTGTAAATCTTGTTGGTATTTGCGGTCAAAACGAATGCAGCATCCGCTGTACAAAGTCAAATCCAAACAGATAAGACATTGTTAATAAATTCATATATTTTTAGTTGTCAGATGGGGTTTTATTTATTCTCAACAATCGAATATGATTTTTATTGAAATCCAGTTTTCTATACCGACTCGAACTGGTTTTAAAAACTGGTTTAATGAATTTTGAACTTTCAGGGTGGGAAAGTATAAAGCAAATGCTGGGAAATATTAAATAGCACGGGAAAATTGCACAGGCAATATATGGGTGTATATATACACACGGAATTATTGGCATAAAATTTGATAATGAATGACAATTAGGTCATTGCATGAGTTATAAATAGATATTTGGGAAAGTAAGGATTTTTTAGACTTTGAAACGTGATACAAAATGGTTATGTTTTAATAACATGGGTTTTGAAATAAATTTGTATTTATTTGATTGTAATAACTTTTTCATTATCCAATTTGATGTGTGGCTGTGCACCATTAAATCATGGGAAAGCAAATATAATTTATCATCGGTTTACACAGGTCAATCGGACACGCACTTATGCTAGGAACACAATTGGAGCGAACGACGAATTTTTTCGCGGCGTATGTTCGTCGTCAAAAATAAAACACATATGTGTATATGGAAGTGCACACAATCACGGCACCGGCGAAAATTTCGTCGGTCGCCGCGAACTCAATTAGCTTTATTTCTATTTCATACGCCGGCGACCGGCGAACAAAACAGTACAAGGTGGCCATACTTGTACGAATTTTATGTGTTTTAGTAAATAAAGTTACTTTTTACTTTAAAATTTGTTATGGTCACTCTACTATCTGTTACTCGTATAAAAAAAACATAATTAATTTATTTATTTATTTGTGTACTTGCGCCTGAGTGAAGATGGATATCAGTGAATTTATAATAGAGAAGATGGACATAAGTGAAATTATAATAGAGAACGTAAAGAATTATGTGTTCTTGTATAATTCATTGTAGTCAACAAATGAGCAAAAAGTAAACAACTTCATCAGCTGTTTTATAATTTCGTCGGTATTGTGTTCCATACGACGAATTTTCGCGGCTCATTTTGTCGCCGCGTAGGGCGAAATTCGTCGTTCGCTCCAATTGTGTTCCTAGCATTAAGAGTTTTAATGAGTGTTTGTAGAGTATTTTTCTAAATTCGCTTTGTTTCTGTGTCTTTGTTTTGTAATATTTGCCATATCTCATATATATTCGAGTGTATTTAACAAATATAGACCCACATCCATGTAAAATCCTTGATGGGATTAATGAGGCAATCTTGTATTTACAATTTTGTAAAAATTATACCTTTGCCAACATCTCATTGTTTACATTTATTTTATTTTAAATGGGGTTATCATGGGTAAACCTAAACCATGGAAAAACGATAAAGGAAAACTCATTTGCTAAATTGAATATGGTAAACCTTTTCTGACGAACTCGACTTTGTCAATTATAAAATAAAATCTATTTTTATATCAAAAATATTTTCGTATGACGAGTAGCAGATTTTACAAAAATAATAAATGTCCTCTTATTTTCGGAGTTCCTTGACAATTAAAAACAGTGGTGGAAATACATAAAGCGCTCATTTAGCTGGCTTAAGTTATCGGCTGACTCCTTTGTAGAGGAACAAATGAGATTTAGGTTGACTTAGTTCGATTTTGGCCATAGGCTCCTTTGTTTTTTTCCGAAGAAGCTAGCCGATGATTTAAGCCAGTCAAAAAAGCGTTGTAGGTATATTCATTGTCCAAATGTCTATTTACAAATCTATTGTATATACAAAAATCAGAGATGGGAACCTTTTTCCTACGCAGTGAAATTTGACAAGGTAAATTATAGAAAATGCAGAGATGGAAATGTTTATTTGATATGTCCAAAATCAACGAAAGGTCAAATTTGATAATAACACTGAAAGTTCAAATGTGTCAAAATGTTTATTCATTTAAACATAAATCAGAGATGGATAATTGTTTGCAATGAAGGTAAATTACAGAAAATACAGCGATGGATATTATTATTTGAAAGGATATTACCATGGGTAGACATTACGAATATAAACTGTTTTGAGAGAGTAAGATAATAGATAAATAATTAAAAGTAAAACATTGATAAAAAAAAGTAAAAATGATTTTACATAAGGTAGCCAATTCAAATAAGCATATCCATCTCTGAATTTTCTACAATTTACCTTGAAATTTCAATAAATAAAAAAGAGGTTTTCATCTCTGATTTTTGTGTATACAATGGATTTATAAATATAAATTGTGATATTAAGATGTTGTCAAACGAATAATTTTGAAAAAAAATTGTGAACATATGATTACATGACTTTACCTTCTTAATTCTACCATGGGATTTTAAAATAATATGAATTTTGAGCCGTCAACGCAACACTATAACATCGACGTAAATCTTGCTTCTGTTTTCATCTTAAAACAGATCCAATTTTTGATTCCTAATTTGTGAAACGCGGTAACCAAAAAAACACATCAGGGAAAAAATGCCAACAAATTTCCGGTTGAGGTATCTTACGGCAAACTTCTAATTAATTTGACAGTTCGGCGGCAATCAACGCTTGGGAACATTGATATGTCAACATTTAAAATGTTTTTTTCAAAAACAAGTAAATTTTTATATGTTTTCTTATACGAAAACAATCGGAGGTTGTTATGATATGCATTTTTCAACAACTTTAAGAAATTTGAATAATTTTTCATTCAAATATTTCAATTTCAAAAATGGTTTGACAGTTCAATGTCCTAGCAGCCCGTGGGACAATGACTTCTCGACTTCTGCCAATTTTGTGTATGTATTTATTGTTTTGAAAAATAAAATCAAAATATTTTCAAAATCAATGTTTGGTAAATTGCGATATGCGCATTAAAGCTATTTGCCAGTTTTGCTACGGAATTGAAAGATAGAACTATTTAGAACATATTTTTGATAGATAAAAGGGATTTCATTCATTTCTCTCGTTCTTAAATGATTTTAAAAATTAGGAAAAATATTGAATAAATGGAAACAACAATGGCGGGCATAGCCTCAGGGCTACATTTCTGTAGTTTTAAGAAGCTGTTCTACCTTCTTATTGTACCATGCGAATACCTGTATTCTTCTACCATGGACAAAATGTTGTAACAATTGAGATAAAACACAGCTGATATTTGATTATATCCCAACTGTTGTGCTATTTAAATTGTTAATTCAATAAAAAAGAATGAGTGTCTGGCACATAAACAAACAACTGTCAAAAACAATGCCGGTTAAAAAAGCGAAACTTTTATGAGTTTTTAAGCATTAAACTAGTTGTTCTGTTACAGTGCGTTTAGATATAAATGAGTTAAACCACTGGATTTGGTTTAAAATTGTCCATTCCATTACTTAAATTTCAAATAAATAAAGTTCTAAAGCATGGCAGAAGAATACAGGTAGATGCATCAACGCTTGGGAGCATTGATATGTCAAAAAAATTTAAATGTTTTTTCAAATATAAGTAGATTTTTATATGTTTTCTTGTACTACGTCATTCGGAGGCTATTATAATTCTCGTTTTTTAAGAATTTTTACAAATATAAATAATTTTTCATTCAACATTTTCAATTTCAAAATTGGTTTGACAGTTCTGTCCCAGCAGCTGTGTCGACGCGTCTACCTATATTCTTCTATCATGTTCTAAAGTAAATATGACATTATAGGTTAAACCGGAGAATATTTTTTTCATTTTATGAAATGTTTCATTTGATATTTTTCCCAATTCAATTCACTATTTTGAATTTCTGCCTCATTCTACAGCTGCAATTGAGGTCCCTTTTCCCTAGTAATTTCTTCCGCTTGCTATTTTGTTTACATTCACATTTTTAAATGAAAGATTAACAAAGAAATTGTCTACTCACGTTATATAGTATACGAAGTCGGAATTGTTTAAGTGATTGTTTTGATATTTCACACTTTTGTTTGTTTATATTTCAGTTTTTTTACAATGTTTATTTAAATTCGTTCGGTAATCTTTTTATTTTATTATTGCGACTATTATTATAATTTTAATTTTGTCTCCGAAGATGAACTTTAAAAGGCACTATATAAACATGTGTTTTTTTTTGCGAATGCCGCAGAAGATAGTGTTGTTCACTAGACTTTCAAATGAATTCTAAACTAACGCTAGCCGTTCTCGCGTATTTAATACTTACCAACGGCAGCTGATAAGTATCTGTACCCATCAACTCGTATTCTGTGGTGAATTTTATTTATGTTTTTATACGATGCAAAATTGTATTATTTCCGTTTATAGTGGAGTAGATGCAGGCATGGCACAATTACAGTAGGTGGAACAGAGCTACTTCCTTTCAGAAGTACTCTAAAGTACCTACTCTGTCATTTTTTGTGAAAAAAGAGAAAATAATTTGAAATAATTTCTAATTTGGACGCAATAGAAATTCACAATTTCCTCGTTAACGGCCAACAAAATGCATATCTTTGGGATTAAACAAAATTATTCCTGGGTCTTGGATTCAATTTTGTGGAGAAACTCCCAATTGATATGTCAATAAAATTCAAAAGTTTTTTCAAATATAAGTAAATTTTTATATGTTTTCTTATACTACGTCATTCGAAGGCTATTATAATTCACGTTTTTCAAAAATTTTTACAAATTTAAATAATTTTTCATTCAACATTTTCAATTCCAAAATTGGTTTGACAGTTCATTGCCCCAGCAGCTGTGTCGACGCGTCTACCTATATTCTTCTACCATGGTTCCATTTATGTTTTGTGGATTTCCCCCTCAAATAATAATTTTGTGAAAAAATGCATGGTAGAAGAATACAGGTAACTGTCAGATCAATTTTGACATTGACAATTTTGAATGAAAAATTATTCAAATTCGTTAAAATTCTAGAAAAAAATGCATATAATAACAACCTCCGATTGGCGTCGCATGAGAAAACATTTAAAAAAATTATTTATTTCTCAAAAAAAAAAAAATTAAAATTGTTGACATTTCAATTTTCCCAAGCATTAATGCATTTACCTTTATTCTTCTACCATGGATCAAATTTAAAAAAACCGATTGTTGCATGATTAAAAGTCTATTTGAGAAAATGTGGATCCATTACAGAGTTCCATTTTTCCTAGTTTCTTTGAAGTTGAGCCATCTTTCTTGTTCGCCCATGAATGCAGATACATTTATGGGTATATTAAGTGATTGTGTTTGTAAACAAAATAAATGTATGAAAAGTGGCCCAGTGGGAGCCTGGCATTATTTTGATATTACACCATGACCATGGTAGAAGAATATAGGTAGACGCATAGACACAGTTGCTGGGACAATGAACTGTCAAACCAATTTTGGAATTGAAAATGTTGAATGATAATTTATTTAAATTTGTAAAAATTGTTGAAATACGCAAATTATAATAACCTCCGAATAACGTCGTATAAGAAAACATATAAAAAACTACTTAGATTTGAAAACACATTTAAAATTTTTTCACATATCAATGTTCGTAAGTGTTGATGCATCTACCCTGTATTATTCTACCATGACACAGCTGCTGGGAGAATGAACTGTCATACTATTTTATAATTGGAAATGTTCAATGAAAAATTATTGAAATTTGAAAATTTGTCGAAAAATGCATATCGTAACAACCTCCGATTAGCAGCGTATAAGAAAACATATAATATTCTACAATGTTCTCAAGAGTTAATGCATCTACCTGTATTCTTCTACAATGTATTACAACCCATTTAGACTACACCCTTTTACTATGTTTAGGGGCATTATCGCGATTTATGTGTTTTTTAAACAATAACAATAAATATGATTATGAATAAATATAAATATACCTTAAATTTATTGTGAATGGTTAAAAGGGGTAGAGATTTTGTGTTTAAATCAACTTAAAACTTGAATTTATTAAAATCCAATATTAAAATACGCTAACGTACAAAATCTCTGTCCGTGTTAACGCCGATTTTCGTCCAAACACAACAACTCTGACCATATCAAACATACCTTAAATTTCTTGTGGCTGGTCAATTATCAGGGTTAATCCGGTTTAGAGATTTCGAATGTAAACGTACTTTTAATTTGAAATATTTTGGAATACATCTCTGCTTTTTGCTCCTATGCGACTTTAATTACAATTGTTTAATTGGATATTTTTAGATTTCATCATCGATCGAACGATTTTTCTATCCTATTGCACCATTTATAGTTCATAAATCTCTTACAGTTGTTTTTTTTTTCGATGATAAACGGTGAGAACATTTCATTGTCTATATTTTCATTTGTCTTTGTCATGGTAGAAGAATATAGGTAGACGCATCGACGCAGCTGCTGGGACAATGAACTGTCAAACCAATTTTGGAATTAAAAATGTTAAATGAAAAATTATTTAAATTTGTAAAATTTGTTGAAAAATGCATATCTTTACAACCCACGATTTGTGTCGTATAAGAAAACATATAAAAATCTACTTATATTTAATAAGAAATTTAAAAATTTTTGACATATCAATGCTCCCAAGCGTTGATGCATCTATCTGCATTTTTCTACCATGGTCTTTGTCGACACTTTGAATCTCAAGAGCGGCATCTGTTAGTAATACTGCGTCGTATGAGTTTTGTCTACGATACAAGAATTGAAAAGTGTAGTTTGGCCATTTCACACAAGATGTCACTACCAAAGTTGTTCCTATTGTTCAAGAGATGGCGCAAACAGTTATTGATTCATCATTTAATACAATAACTAAAATTATCGATAATATTCTTAACAAGTAAAAAAGCTGTAAGTTCGGTCGGGCCGAACTTTAATTACCCTCCACCATTTGGAATGAATTAGGCCATTTTCAAAAAAAAAAAAAAAAAAAAAAAAAAAAAAAAAAATATATATATATATATATATATATATATATATATATATATATATATAATCCGTTAAAATTTTAACAAGTAAAAAAGCTGTAAGTTCGGCCTGGCGAACTTTAAATACTCTCCACCATTGGGATTGAATTTGGCAATTCTCAAAAACAATTAAATCCGTAAAAAAATCGGTTATAATCTTAAAAATACCGAATGTAGCTTTTATATTAGGGTCTATACGACGACATGGACCTGCATAGGTAACATTTGTCATAAGCTATTACAAATGCGAAACTTAAAAAAATCGAATATCGGGAGGTACCGTTATATGGGGTCTATACGAAAACGTGGACCTGCACAGACAATCTCCTGTCATATGCTGTAGTATTCATTACGAACTTCAAATACCAAATTTGAAACAATTCCGGTGAATAATACCGCTAGAATCATAAAAATACCGAATATCGGGAGATGCCGTCTTATGGGAGCAATACTAAGACGTGAACCTGCACAGACAATTTTCTTTCATAGGCTGTAGTATCCATTACGAACTTCAAATACAATATTTGAAACAATACCGGTAAATAATGTCGCTAAAATCATCAAAATACCGAATATCGGGAGGTACCGTTATATGGGGGCTATACGAAGACGTGGACCTGCACAGACAATTTTCAGTCTTAGGCTGTAGTATCCATTACGAACTTCAAATACCAAATTTAAATATAATATAATATTATTGGCCTTCTTAGACATGTATAAACAGTTGTCTTTAAGGATCAACACCCCGGAATAACCATCCTAAAATGTTGACAAAATCTTTACAATACACAAAAACTTACGCTGACAATTTCCTGTAATGTGTTCAATGCCAATTCGACTGGAAATATGACATGACAATCTCCCACCAGTTTGATAGCAACACACTTAATATTGCCATGACAAGTTATATGTCCGTATCTAAGCAGAACTACTAAATAACAATTTGAAAATGAAGGGACATCAAGTAAAAAAATCAATCTTATGATTGTATGATGGTACAATTAAATCAAGGTAACCTCATTTCTAATAACAATATCCAAATCTGCAATTTTCTGTAGTTTACCTTGTCAAATTTAACTTAATTGAAAGCAGGATCTCATCTCTGACGGAATTTGAAGGACGCATGTTTCAATTTTTGATATGTTGTCCATTTTGTCCATTGCTACACTTGCAATGTCAAAACATGTTTTGAATAACACACAAAGTATTTTCGAATATTTTCAAATTCTATTAAAAAATTGAAAATTTATTTAAAATTCATGTTTTTGTTTGTTTGTGGAGAATAGGCTTTTTAAATTTTGAAAGAATCTTAATTTTAATAATATAAGGAAGAGAAAATTGTAAAATATCCATAAAGTTCTTTAGAAAAAAAATTATCAAAATGTGGCAATTAAACACAAGAAATTGTTGCATCTATTATTAAAAATTGTAAAGTTACAAGACACTAGATTCAAAATTGTGTTTTTTTTTAATTCCTGTAACCTATCCTAAATTGATTGTATCATGGTGTATTAAACGACGTCCATCGAAACATGACAACAAGAGTAAACGAACAAAGCCAGTCTGAACATGGTACAATTCTGCTTCGATTAATCGATAATTCGAAGAGAAAATCAAAACAACGTTGCCAACTAGTTGTGGCAAGAGAATTGAGAAAATATGTGCATTGTTGTTGTTGGAATTGAGAAAAATATAGTTGTTTACACTCTCTCTCCCTTTCAAACGACCAATTGTATTCTACCATTTTCATTTATTTTTTAAAATCGGATGACGACGCACGACGCGAGCGAAAAACGCGATAAAGAAGAAATAAATTTTGCTGTCACAGAAATACACGGTGATTAATGCGAATAGAGTATAGTTAAATCAAATGCCAAAGGATTAATGTTTTGATATTTGAAGAAATATTAAAAAAAGTAGTGCACTCATCATTTGTTTATTGAAACGAAGCCCACATTTAAAAAAAGGGGGAAGGAAAAAATAAGAAGTGTATGTGTGTTGTTCGTCTGGGTGTGTGTGCCTAATTCATGCCTATGTTGTTTTTGTAAAGAAAATAAGAAAGAAAAAGTTTCACCCAAGGAAAAGAAAAGTATACAAAGTATATATTGCCAATATTTATGCAAAATTTCATAATTAACAGTGTTAAATTAAGAGAAGGGTATAAATTATGGTTACGTTAAATGGAAATCAAATGGTGGAGAGCAGCCCAACACCTCCAACAACGGCGGCAGCAGCCCCAGCAAAATTGCAAGCATTGCCGACATCAGCGACTACAGCCAAAACAAGTATTGACCCTGTTAAAGTGCTGTTGGTGGAAGATCCCGATCCCCCTAGCAGCCAGCCAAATAAAGCAACAACAAACACAACAACAGCCACCCACTCAATTTCAGGCGATAATGGCACAACAAACGCCAACTCCTCCAACAATACTGCTAAGGTTGCTGGTGGCAGCACCATGAACGGTGGTGATGATGGTAAAATCTGTGAATTAACCGAGCAAAATGTCAAATTGTTGCCCAAGGCATCGCCTCCTCCGCAAATCATTATAATTCCGGATTCAGCTGCTGCTGCAACAACGTCCAATACAACAGCCAAAAAGATAAGACGTGCTTTTTCCATGCCACGAAATCCTTTTCGTTGGTCTCACAAATTGAAAACAACGGCAACAACGACAACAGTGGCGGGGGCCGATAACCTCATTACTGGCGGTGGTGGTGGTGAACGCAAGACCGGAAGAACACAAGATTCAGGTGGCGGAGGCGGTGGTGGAGGTGGTGGCGGTGTCCTATCTTTGGGCAAATCGTATACCTTATCATCATGTGTTGGTGGCAATCGCAATAGATCGGATAGTTTTGCATCGTTGAATGAAGACGGTGGGGGTGGAGGTGGCATTATGGCCACCACCAATACCACCATGTCCCTGGATCAAGCATTAGATGCACAACAATTAAATACTGCTAATTCCAAAAGGCCAAAAACCAAGGCAAACACTTTGAATGGTGTGACTAGTTTGCAAAATCCTGCTGCCAATAACAATAACAACAATAATCGTTTATTTAGACGCTCATCGTTTAGGAAATTTATAAATCGCATTGCTCAGCATATGACAACAACGGTAAGTTGGTACTATAATTAAATACGTTTTTTGCGGTTTTTTAAGGACACCACAATAAGTGCTTCAGTGGCAAATAATGAGGGGATAAGAGTAATTAATTGCTGGCATTATTGGGCCGCGTTAGGAAGTGGTTAGTTGTGCAGTTCGAGTTGTATTAGTTTGTAAGTATGTTATTCACTTTTATATACTCCTGGTATGTATTAATACATTTTGCCTTTAAGGTATATTTACGAATTTGAGCTTCAGCAAAATGGGTGGAATACTGATTGAAAATATGAATATGAAAGTTAAATTTGTTTCTGTCAACAATTAACAAATGTTGCTAAGATCTTCTTGCCTGAACATATTATGCCCTTCGTTACTGAGGAGAATTTGTCTGAAAGCTTCGAAATTCTAAAATCTGAAGTTAACGTTGTGTTGAATAGTTTTTGAGACAAAGTCTTGCAATGGTTACGAACTTGAAATGCCGAAATGCATCATATTCCGAATAAGAAGAATTTGGATAGGACCTTTGAAAGATACTTTATTATGGCAGTCTCTACTATTCAAAATATATTTGTATTTTAAAACTATTTTACGTATTTTCATATATTTATAGATTCATATTGACAATTTTTCATACAGGAAGTAGTCTGTCTAGTGATTTTCCTTGTATATTGGAAAATGGAGTAATGACAAATCGATGGGATTTTCCTTTAGGATTTTTGACATAAACCTGCTCTTTGCAAAAGAGTTTATGAAAATTAACGTTTGGTCGCAAAATGAGGCAAGGTAGGAATGTTGCAATATATTATGATGAGTTTTTCCAACTATTGTCTAACTTGAAATGGCATATAAAGGGCATATGGATTTGAAAACGTGTTCGATAGAACCTTAAATGTATAAATCTTAGATTTTAAAGCCAATCTGCCTAAATCGGCATTGACTTCTTAGCTTCCCAATGGGGGTGTTGAGAAATAGAAGTATACAACAACTCAAACGAGATTATTTCAAACCCCAAACATCCGAAGAAGGGCAGTAATCTCTCCAATTATTATCCCAAAAATGTCTGTAAATTCTTAAAGACAACCTTTTTTTTACCAGGTTTTAAAAAATTCTTAAAAATCTGATAAATTCCAGAAACTTGATATGATGAAACAAAAATTGGATGGATTCTTCAAAAAGTGGGTCCTTCAAAATGCCTTTATGTGGAATGTAGGAACTTGATCAAAATTAAGATTTATATTGAAAAATTACACATCCATTGAAAATATTTTGTTAGGATGTACTCCACATTTAATGACAATGAGATAATGCAGTAGGGATCATAAAAGATTCCATCATTTGCCGGAAACTAGTGTTTTTCAATCCATTGACTGATTGCATGTACACTATACCGGTTGGTTGGCAAAAAAGGTTACTAAGGTTAGATTATTTCAAGCCACCTGACTTGTGAGGGATACCAGAAAACTCCCACATTTATTATCCAGAAAAAAAAAAAAAAAAAAAAAAAAAAAAAAAAATATATATATATATATATATATATATATATATATATATATATATATATATGAATAAAAAGTTATTTTGGAAATATTAAAAGAAAGTTCACATTTGGAAGTACACATATTATACAAATTCCACTATTATTGATCTGGACATGGCCGTCAAAATTATCTGAATAATATCTTATTATAACCTAAAGACACTCCTGAAAAAAAAAAATATTTAAAAAAAGTCCAGGATTTATGATACGATTGGGATATAGGCTCTAGGGGTAAATGATTATTTAAAAAAATCCTTACAGAGTTGCTAGAGGAACAGCATTTCTTCATACAGTTTTTTAAAACAACTATTCTAGGGGTCCATCCTTCAAAACTCTTCTTTACAAAACCCACGCTTTGAGAGTTCAAAGATCCCTCTGAAAAAAATCTGTCCGCCGCTTGAAATCACTCTCGATTCCAAACGAAATGAAGTGATTTAATAAAACTTTTCTTAGGTGCATTGTCGATACATATTGAAAATATAGGCCATACAGGTCCAAAGTTTGATATAGCCCCATATTACTGTATAATTGTCAGATTTAAGGTGTTATAGCGGTTGCAGTCATATTTTTGAGCATAATTTGCTGTAAATTGGTAGTTGGTGTTTAGAAAGTTGGTGGTAAGAAATATTCATGTAAAGAAAAAATATCCTTGTTCTTGTTTAACCCCCTATATAACTGTGACCCCGATATTCGCAATTTCGATGATTTATGTTACAATTTTCATTGGGATTGCATCAAATTTGGTATTTGTAGTTTGATATGGATACCACATCCAATGACAGAAATTTACCTTTGCAGATCCACGTCCCATCCTATATTAGGTATTTTGATGATTTTAACTTAATTTTTCACCGGAACTATTTTTAAATTTGAGTTCGCAATGGGTAGTATTTTTTATGACAGACAATTGCCTGTGCAGATCCACGTCCTAGCATAGCCTCCATATAAGAAAACGGTACCCCATCCTACAGTCGGTATTTTTATGATGCTAGCTAAATTTTTTAATAGAATTATCTCAAACTTGGTATTTGCCCTCTGCGGCAAATAATTGCATATGGCCGTCCACGCTTTCATATATCCCCATAAGATTGTAACACCTGATGGGTATTAAAATGGAGGATAATAAAAAGTTCGGTCCGGCCGACATTGTTTCACTTCTTCCATTTATCTTTGAAAACGAGTCGAATTTTTTTCAGTCGGATTATGTAAAATTTAGAAGTGGTTGCATTAAATTCTACTCAAAAACAAAGAAATCGTCTCATTTTAACCCATTTTTGATTTGCGCTAGACCACATTTTTATGATCGCCTTTCGAGTCTGGAAAAAAATTGGTGTTTTTTTTTATCACCATCTTATCTTTCAAGTTTAAATAGTTTGCTGACGTCAATCACCTACCCCCTTTTTTTACTGTAGACAACATTCTTTGATAGTCGGCGGTCGGTTTTACTTAACCTATTTATTTTGCAAATTTGCAAATGCAATTTCATATGACTTGTCGGTCGGTTTATTATCATAATTAATTATAAAGTTAATAACAATTTTAAGTAAATACTAAGTTAGATATATTGTTGTTTGTTTTTTCAAACACAACGTGTTTTGTTAAAAAAAAGCAAATATTCCTAGTCAAAAAAATTTGTTTAAATTTTCTACACACTTTTCTCCAAAAGTCTATTGCTAACCCGTGCCGCCGTACCAATCGCCAATTGTTAAACTAATTGGACAAATAAAGAAAAGAGTGCATAAAAACTCGAAAAATGTCTTGGAATTGTTTTCTTTATTTGCATCATGATAATGCCATGCAGATGAGTTGACTACCAGTCGTCTAGCTTGATTGGATGACTTATTCGTTACCCAAGCCCCTTTGTGGGTTTTCTCTGTGGAAAAAGTAACTAGAAAAAGCAGTAAAATGCTGATGATGATGATTATCATGCTAACAGCTTCCAATTATTTTTCTATTAAAGTGTCGCCATTGTGTCTCCCTTCCACTCAGTCAGCCAGCCAACCGTTCGCTGCGGCTGATTGAGTAAATAATAAAACGAAATAATTTCTTTAAGAATTGTTTCGCTTTCATTTCTTGGTTTGCTCCTCATTTGTGGCCATTCCATTTACTTTTCTACTTTTCTTTGTAGTTTTGTTTTTTGTTTTTGTTTTTGCTTTGTTTCTTTGTTTACTTTCATGCGGAGAGACTACAGACTTGATTGACTCCATCCATACTTTTTTCTTTCGTTTTCTTTCTTTGACTTTGTTTTTGTTTAGAATGGGTAGTTGGGAGATAACCAAGAAGGGCAAAGGTTCAAATGACGTTTATATTTCACATGGCAATCTGGCAATCTATTCTTAAATGACCATCAATCGAATGACTAAATCCTTGAAACCAAAATTGATAGCCTTGTGGAAATTTTTCAGTGGTGGCTACTCTACTACTCTAGTGTTGACGTAACTAAAACAAATATTATATGTAAGTCCATAATCCTTAGGCCTTAATAATTCCAGGGGGACTGGATATATTGTGAAATAAACATTTTTTAATTACCCTCAGATAAATTGGACAAAATTTCGGAATAGAAAAATAGAAAAAAAAAAAAAATAAAAAAAATTGAGTATTTTTAGAAACTAGAAAACTACTACAAAAAAACCAAAATTATTGTATTAAAATATGCTATAAAAAAAAAACTTAGTAAAAATAGGCCACTATTTACGTAAATGGATTCTAAAAAAATTCTTAAAAAATATGCAATCATAAAACTGGCTATGGCCTTTGAGTATCTCTTAAAACTCCACGTAAATCGAGCTGATGTTTCCGAAAATACAATTTTATAGAACAGAATCTTTGAAATTTTTAAAAATTGAACTGGTTAATGGTCTTTGAAATCTGGTAAAAACTAAAAAAAATTCTGAACAAGTTTTTAAATAATTTTCAAATTTCTGAGCCATTTAAAAATCGATGATTCATTGTACAAGAATTTTATATTCAAACCATTTCTATGTTTATGTGAAATTCTAGAACAAAAGTTTTTCTTTTAACTAAATATTGAAGCAGCGTTCTCATCATGGATTGGGTATCAAATGTGACACTTGTCAACTGGACACTGCCCCAATCGAGCAAAAAAGCAATTTGAAATGAACGTGAAAGTATTGAGTGGAGGTGTATTGAACTCAACTTTGCTTGTCATCTGTAAATTATTTGAAATCAATAAACTTTATATTATTCAATATTATACGACTGTATTGAGTTTCAATACAATTTTTTTTTTGGATTTGAGACATGTTTTAGAGGGATACAAAATTTCTGAAAGTATATATTTTTTAATGGATTTTTTGGAGGAATCACGTTTTTTTTAGAGATTTTTTTGGTGGAATCATGGACTACTAGAAGTGTAGATTTTTAAAGATTTTTTGGAGGAATAATGTATCTTTGCAGATGTGTATTTTTTACACATTTTTTAGGAATCATTTACCTCTAGAATCGTAGATTT